CTTCGAGGGTGATGGATGAATTTAATACCTGAGATAAGTGTACGGGTTTTTATACGCGCAGTCTTGAAACTTTCCGATCGCACCTCGTAGTTTGGAGACAGCGGGGTACGCAAAGCGATCTTCAATTTAACAGTTTTGTAACGAACAGACCCATCTCAAATCTAAAAGTCTGTGACGATGGTGAGTTATTTAAATACAAAGTTCCTTAGGTGTTATCCATCTAATAAGATAATAAAATTAAACGACGTTTCGGAGACGGGATTCTATCTCCGAAACGTCGTTAAATTTTATTATTTTATTAGACGATGGATAACATCGAAGAAACTTTTTATTTAGACCCAACTTAGAAGGGTCCAGCTAGAAGGGCTCAAATCAGTTTTTCATAGGAGTGCTATAGTATACGTAAAAATTTCTGTGACATTTCCTGTTCACAATGATCTGATACAACCACTGCATTTCATCATTGGTTCTGAATGTGCTACCAGGAAGTCGCTAGAAAACAAGGAGGGAATGGGACTCTACGCGGAAAATCAGCTTCTGATCGACGCCATTGACGATAATTTATCGAGTGAAAACATACACGTCACACAAATGTAGAATCTCTATTAGTAAACTCGGAGAAGATTACTTAACACACTTAAGTCTCTGTAGACGACGGGACAGAATCATTTTTGATTTGAAGCTTCGAAAATATGTCAAAGTTCAGATATTTTCAACGACGTTAACAAATCACAATTGTATTCACGAGGAAATTAAGAGAAGATTAAATTGGGAATGTTGGCTACAATGCATTTCAGGATCTTCAGACTTCCTGCCTCGTATCTAAAAACGTATAAAATACGTACACACATAACTGTACCTGGACCTGCTGTATTGTATGGGTGTGAAACCTGGTCTTCCTTAAGGAAGCACACAAATTGTTTGAGACAGGGTGTTTAGGAGAACATTTGGAAGTAAGAGGGCAGAATTGACTCGAAGATTGAAAAATCTGAATAATGTAGACATGCACAATTTTTACTTTTCATTAATTATTATTACGGTGATTAATTCAAAGGATATGAGATGGACGGGCCATATAGCGCGTACCGGGAGATAATCAAATGATATGAGATGAGCGGGCCATATAGCGCGTACCGGGAGATAAGAAATGCGTACTAAATTATGGTTGGGAAGTCTCTAGAGTTGAGGCCACTCGGAGGACATAGATGGGAGGATCTTCGTCAAATCTGGTTTGGGGATGTGGACTGGATGTATCTTACGAGGGCAGGGACCGACCGGTCGTCAGTTCTTGTGGACATGATAACGAAACTTTCGGCTCCATACAACGCGGAGAATTTCTTGATTCGCTGAGCTTACTGCTGGCTTCTGAAGAAGAAGTACGTCTCTGGTGGAAAACTTTCGTATCCTTTTCGGTCAGAAATAGTTGGACTGTCTCTCCACGTTTTGGAAACTTAATTAGAAACTTCACCACAAACTACAATTAATTCAAGTGTCTAAAATGCCAAGAGTAACGTGAGTGATTAGTAACTCGACAAATTTAAAATGATCTAATGATCATTATCCGGAAGTGGTTATTCACTGGGGTTCTGACTTAAAGGTTCCGTGTTCGAATCTGACTGTAGACAATTCTATTTTCGAAGCGACATACTCTACAAGCGTGCTTGTTTCTTTACAGAAAATAAGGGGCTCAAAACATAAACTCGTACAATTAGCACTCGAAGAGGACGTTTTCAAAACCATCCAGAGTCACTGGGCCCATGCCGAGAGGAATGAGAAATTCTAGGTCTTAAGAACGGCCCTTTCAAGGGCCAACATACAAATTAATTTATATATTTTACGAAACAGATGTGTTTCTAGAATAAATGTTACTTGCAAATACAAGTTTTGTGTACAGTCAGATTCAGTCACTGAATAACACCAATCCCGGGAAAATAAAAGAGTGACGACGTAAATGATAACAACTGAAGACAGATTTTCGCCCGTAAACAAATGTTACTGAACTGCAGATTTACAAGCAGTAATCGCATTCTTTCTAATATCACAACCCACTTTCAGTTGATCTTGGTATGAGTTCCACACGGCAATTTTGAAACATATAACAACACACAACGGGATATTTTAAACGAGTTCGAACGTATTTCAAATCATATGTCTGGGTCAGGAATCGAACTCGCATATTTGATGTCTGCATCAACATCGATCTTCTATCCTACCGGCCTGTCTGGCAGCGAATACAGAATTCAAATCAAAGAAAAATCTTGAAAAGTCCTGTCTTTTTCTCCAAAATTATGCATATAAGTCTCTTTGATTAATATTACACAACTAATTGTAATTAATCGATTGTAGACGACAACCACTTGCCGACGGATATAAATAAATATCAAATGATTTTTTTCTGGGCAGCGTACGTGCCCACAGAGTCGACTACGTTCAATGCGTAACAGACGCACAGCTACAGTCTACTGTTCACGGATTGGTACAGTACTTACGACGCCGCCACCAGCGGAATGGACGAGGACGCTCTTGCCAGGCGCCAGGCCACCTAGCTCGAAGAGCAGGATGTAGGCGACCAGATAGTTCATGGCGATCGCAGCAGCATCCAGGTAGCTGAGTTCGGCAGGAATGTGGTACACATACCGGGAAGGGACGATCACCAGCTCGGCCCATGCTCGGTACTCCGGCAACGCGACCACGCGATCACCCACCTAGAGTGCAGAAAACAATGCAATGATCTGAAAGGCACCAAGGCGGGAAGTGCCTGGTATTGTGGCGCTAACACCATGTGAAGTAACCTCAATATAAATCCAGACACAAATTACCCGGTTGGTTGAGGCGTGATTTACGACGTCAAACTGCTCCCAATCTATCCTTGGCTTCCGGTCTCGGTCCGTTCGTTACCTGTCACCAATACCACGCACCACACTCGACATAAATCAAATTTCCTATGTAAAACTGAGCGATAGCCGAAGAACAAGATATATAACACGAATATAAACGTTTAAAAACAGTGTCGCCCAACGTGAAAGGGCATAAAGAGTGATTCAAAAGTCACGCAACCCGTTCCTGACACATGTTCTATTTGTAAAAAAATAAAATACAATAAATATGACACACTGGAATAAAAAAAGTGTTATATTAAGTTGCTGAAACGTCCACCGCATTCTGCATCGTGACATCGACCGGAAAAGTTTCTGTCCCACCAGCTTCCTGTATCACGGAAACGGTGTCATCAGACCGACGACGTCGATTAGTTTGGGACAGGAGAATCGGGAAACGAATCCCTAAACTCATTCTGACAAGTCACGTAAGAACGAGATGCCACGTAGCGTTCGACAATGGACACCCGTTGCACCTGTGAAAAAGGACATCCTTCCACTTCGACTGCTGAAAGGCAACTGACGGACTGGCGAGAGCAGTTACGACATGACGCGACCTCTGTGGGCTCTTGTATAGTCACGGTGATCTTGTGTGTTTATTAGCTCAGTCGAATTGTATTCAATTGCAACTATTAATAAATATTCTCTATGGGATGCACGACTTTTCCATCTTCCTGAACAAATCGGAATTTCTCCATATATTCATTGCTTTTTAAACCTACAAAGTATAATTACACGATTTCCACACGGACTTAAAGCTGAAATGTTAAATTTTGCAAAAATACAGGGGGCTGTAAAGTAACAGCTATAATGGTTTGTAATTTGTGGACTTACACAATTTTTACCCTGGTACCGGCGAATTAACGGGAAACTGTTCAGTTCGTATATTGAGTATCACAATTCCCAGATGCTTGTGGGCTTCTATGACAGAAGTGTAGCACGAAATTATCCACCCAAGCATATACCAGGCGGGACTAAAGAAAATCACGAGAATACACAAATCAGTCTCCTGTGAAAAATTAGAAGCTTATAAAAGAATGATGTTGCAGAATGAAGAAATACAAGAGAATATTATTGTTTTGACGTTTTCTACATTCCACATACACTCTGTTTTGTGATTAAGAGGAGTTGAGAAAAATCATTTATTGTTTACTACATACGGAACTATGCTTTGTAAATATTGCATTGCATCATGGTTAATCGTGACGTAATAATACACGAGAAGATGGCGGCTAAGCGTAACAGTATCGTGCCTGCCGACGACCACCAACTGAGCTACGCAATCGAAATTTCTAGAACCGAAATTGAAGTTGAAAAGTGTTAAAAAGAGACGATTAAAGAAATATAATTATTAACCAGTCATCTCATCTGATTCACCATGAAACTAAGTAATAAATTAATGTAAACTGTACGTGAAAAGTATTAAATAAGTAGCTTAGTTGAGTTGAGTTATCAATTGTTCTGTCCAAAGGATCAGTGATGCCTGTACTATGGTGCAGGGAAGTATTGCAGACACAACAATGAGTCTATTCATCCATCGCTGGTATAAATCCTCGAACACGCTACTGTATTCTTAAGAAAAGAGTTTTCGCCATTAGAGACGGTTGGTAAACTAACCATAGTAACTGATTTACGGTGCTGACAGTGACAAGCGTGATCTTTCTTGGAAGTTCTTATTGACTGCGGGGTTCGCGACGGTCCAAGTGGTAGGTTTTTCTCACGAGCGATGTTAGCAGAGTCAACCGATTAAGTGGAGAAGGCAAATTGTCATAACTGGATGTCATTGGGGGCATCCGCTCTTGTAGGCCTTAAGATGTAAGTGGGAACAATGAAAGGAAGAGAAGGGAAGGGTAGGTTTCTAGCGGTGAAAATTAAAGTCTACGTAGCAACAGAATGGAACCATTAGAGATACTAATATCAGGCTGAGGTTCGTAAACACCCGGTGTTGGAATCACAGACTTCAGTATAATTAAGTCAGATCAATGAATGATTGAATGAAAGAGTACATAATGTTTTAACAAGCACGTCTTTTACAAATTTGTTCATTGTCAGACTTTACAACATTCTGTAACACAACGTAAGAAAAATCGTTTAAATTTTCTCCCATTTTCTCGAGGGGTCACGTGTACTTTCTTCATTAAATTACGTGTTGTAGAAAATTCATTATCAACAAAGAATATTCGACTCCAAAGCCAGATTCATCTGCCATCACTTCATTTAGTGGCCTTTCTTAATAATGGAACTGATTCTGAGACAAGGCACAAGCATTTTGTCGCAACACAACGGATAACGGAAAAGCAATAATGAACCATTTGTCGAGTTCATAAACAGACGAGGCGATATGCAGCACATCGACTAAGGATCGATACTAACATAAAAAAGTTGACAGTGGAACCACGGTTCAGGAGAATTAGACGTAAACACGTCTATACGGAAAGGAAGTTTATATATTGGCTTTATTCTAAATATTTCCTTTATACATGCTTTACAATTGAGATAAGTTTGATTAAGACATTGCTTATTTAACTTGAATTAGTTACGCTTAAGATGGGTCTGTGGTAGCTGAATGTAATGTAAAGTAATGTAATTTAATGTAAAGTAATGTAATGTAAAGTAATGTAATGTAATATAAGGTAAGGTAATGTAATGAAATGTAATGTAATGTTTTATAGGTAATAACAATGCTAAGTAAACAGATGACGTTTCCTAGGTAACATAACAATGAAGTTACACTTTTTCGTTCCCCTTTTTTGCCGAATGACCCTTCCTTATAGACGTATTTACGTCAAAAAAAACTACAGGCACGGAAGTACAGTCGAACTTGGTTCTAGCGACACTTTGACTACAGCGTCTAATACTGAGTGGTACTAATTAAATCTCCATAAAACACGCGTTTTTCTGCCTCTCTTACAAAGACACTGGTGGAATAGGCAGTTCGTTTATAACTTTTCATGCCCTCAGAAAATGTGTGGAAAAAGTACAGTAGCTTCAGTGACAGAAGGGTTTCGAGAACGGACAGAATGACTGAAGTCCCAAAGAAAAGTGTTAAGGATGGAGGATAAAGTTAATGTAAATTTGGTTTACGCTGCAAACGCCCACCTCTCTAACACGTATTTCCGACTTACAGAGGTGGGTTAGGCGCGAAGGGTTGACATGACTTCTATGACCTCAGGAAAAATACGTGTGGAAATGGGGAACGAGAGGAATGACACGGCCGTCTTAACCCGTCGACGCCTCCAAAGAGGAGGGACAATCCACAGTATCGAAATCTATTTGCGACAGTAAGCCTCCACACTGCCACCATCAAACCCGATGATAGTTCAGTCGGTTGTGCACGTTGTTACTATATCGACCTGCCTTGCAGAGGGGAAGAGTCCCCTGGAAATCCCACCTCCTTCCAAAACCCTTCAAATTCAACAAGCTATTGTCAATGTACCTCTGGCATGGGGTAGGGATTACTCATCCCAATGGGCTCAGTGGAAATTCCACTGAGTTCCTATTGTCAAAAGCACGTCCCAGGTTGCAGCCTGTCGCTGGTCAGACACAAGCCCGCATAGCATTTACGTCAAGCTACAATCCCAAAATAATATAAATCTAACAAATGTCCGATGTAATATAATTATAAATTTTGATTTAGAAAGCTTCTATCAAAAGCAAAACCTAACTTAAGCCCCTTTCTTTGCATATAAACCGGATTGACAGCCGAAAGTCAAGTTCAGGTAACCTGTCCGGAATCGAACTCAGAACGGGCTGTCACAACATAATTCCACAATTCAGACCATACGGAAAATAAGACCTAGTTCACATTTAAAGTCAATTTAGTGCTGTACAAAATAAGCCTATTTATTTCTTCACGAAATCTGATTTAATCCCTTCATCGGGTAGTAAGACGTAATCTCTGCTGTGCCTTGGATGACGTCATAACCGAGTTTGTATATTGAAATTGTACATAAGGATATACGGAGAACGCTGATGCAAACAAGGGGCTAACAATGTATTTTCCACGGAGATCAACTCATTCACTATTTACTAAATTCACCGAAACTTGAGTATTGCATTAACTGCTCGAATTTCCAGAGTTCTTCAAATGTCAGACCTGATTATAATGGAGTTACAAGGGACCTGAAGAACATTTCGTTTTCCATTTAACACGACCACTTCCTTCCTGCTTCCAGGAATTCAAATTTATGTCGTAAACGGTCAGAATTAGGTCCACACTTCGCTCGAAGTTTTCAATTGTCGAATTCTCAATACGTGTTACATTCAGAATGTCCAAACAATGATGAAAAACCCGTTATCTTATTATTGAATCTGCTGAACAATTTGAATTTTATACGGATCAAAGTCCAGGTCTTCTGGGAATATCGAAGCAGTGTTTTGTCAGAAACGATGAGTTACTTACTACGAGGCGCGTCCTCAAAGTAAGTTTCCCACTCGTCCCACAGCTAGCAAACCTTATATTGCGCGAAGCGACTGTGCGTACGTGATAGAGCAATGACGTAGCATGGCGCATGCACTAA